TGTGAGATATCGGCGCCATCTAGGCCCAATGAGTTTGAGGCAGAAGCTGGGAGAAAGGTTTAGGACGCGCTCGGCACCGCATGCAGATCAGTCGCATTTGTTCTCATATTGTAGTTGCAGTTCTATATTTGTTGTACAGAAGAATCTCACAGAATAAATTTACATTTACATTAATCAGGTGTAGACATTCGTCCCACTACACCACATAAATTGGCGACGAGAAAGTTAAAGAATTCATGCGCGTACACTTGAGGTTATATTTAGCACGTGGTGAGATAATTTTGTGAATTATTGATTATTAAAATGGCTTTGCACGGTGTATTGCCAAAGTTTGAACAAAACGAAGACTGGGGATTATATTCAGAACAGTTGCAACAATATTTTGTCGCTAATGACGTGAGTTTGGCAGAGAAGAAAGTGGCTATTTTATTAACGGTCATTAGTACGGCAGTTTATAAGACATTGAGAGATTTATGTCATCCTACGAGCCCGCAGGAAAAGACGTTTGAGGTTCTTAACGCATTATTAAAGGACCATTTCCAGCATCGACAGGCTGTTTTTCGAGAGCGAATTAAATTTTATAGAGCTACTCAAGCGAGTGGAGAAAAAATCGCTGACTGGTATGCTCGTGTCAAAAGTTTATCAGTTTCCTGCAAATTTGGAAATAGCTTACAAGAAATTTTGAAGGACAAATTCGTCACCGGTCTCTCAGATTCCAAAATTTTAAGCCGAGTATGTGAGGAGGATGAGTCCAAGAGTTTGAAGGATTTATTTGATATTGCCATTAGAAGGGAAGCAGTCATTATTGGCGAGACTCAGGAGGTCAATCGGTTAAAACTTCACGCAAAGAAGCCAGAGTTGAGTCATCGAAAGGAGTCCACCGACGCTTCTACGTCGTCGAAGACTATGCAAAGAAAGTTTTCAAAGGACAGTAAGAAATGTTACGCATGCGGGGGCACTGCCCATGATTTTAAGACTTGTAAGTATAAGCAATACAAATGTAAAAATTGTAAGAAGGTAGGGCACTTAGCCAAAGTTTGTACCAAAGAGCATTCGCAAAATTTTGTAGTGGATATAAGTAGTACAAATTATGAATATTACGATAATGGCTATCAGGGAGTTAGTCCAGCGTCAGCGCGTAATAGCGATCTAGACTTATTTGAGTTAAGAGATAGTAACTCGGGTCCTATGACTATTAGTTTGAAAGTTGAAGGTCAACGGGTCATATGGGAACTAGACAGCGGCGCGTCTAGAACGGTTATTCCGTTTTGGCTTTATAACAAGAATTTTAAGTACAAGAAGTTGTATAAAACCGAAATTGTACTGAAAAGTTATTCCGGGGAAAGTATGGTACCAGTAGGTAAATTCCAAGTTTCGGTGCAATACGGCAGCGTAAAAAAAATACTTGACATATTAGTTATTAATACGAACGGTCCAGCTTTAGTAGGTAGGGATTGGATAGCTAGCCTCGATCTAATTAAAATACGACGTGAACCTGTATTTAAAGTAGATAAAGAACTGGAAGTGTGTGAGGAATTTCCAGAAGTATTCGAGCCAGGGTTAGGATGTTACAGATATGGCAAGATAAAGATAGAGTTAAAACAGGAAGCGAAACCAATCTTCTGTAAACCTAGGACGTTACCCTTGATCTTTAAAGAGAAAGTAGAAGAAGAACTACTTCGATTAGAAAAAGAGGGAATTATAGCACCCGTAACAGATTCGGAATGGGGTACGCCTCTTGTACCTGTATTAAAGAAAAACGGGCAAATCAGAATCTGTGCAGACTATAAGTCGACGGTAAATACGTTCTTGAAAGATGTAAAATATCCGTTACCGCGGATTGAAGAACTTTTTGCAGCACTTAGAGGCGGAAAAGAATTCACTAAACTTGATCTTTCCCAAGCTTACAACCAGTTGGTTTTAGATGAGCAATCTAAGTTAATTTTAGCATGGAGCACCCATAAGGGTATATTCAAAGTTAATAGAATGCCCTTCGGAATTAAGCCTGCTGCTTCCATTTTTCAACAAAAAGTGGAAAAGACATTACAAGGTTGCAAGGGAGCTATGAATTTTATAGATGATATAATTGTAACAGGCAGCACTAGGGAAGAACATATCGAAAATTTAAGAGAGGTGCTCGGTCGGTTGTTGAGAGCAGGACTCAAAGTTAATAAAGAGAAGTGCGAATTTTTTAGTTCCGAAGTTAAGTATTTAGGGCATATAATCAACGCTGAAGGTTTAAAGAAAGATCCCGGTAAAGTACAAGCTATATTAGAAGCACCTGTGCCTACTAACAAGAAGCAAGTTAGAGCGTTCGCAGGATTAGCAAATTATTATATTCGTTTTGCTCCTAATTTATCTTCTATTTTGCGTCCTATTTATGATTTGTTAAAGGACGACAATGAATTTAGATGGACTACAAGATGTAACGAAGCATTTAATTTAGCAAAGAAAGTTTTAGCGTCGGAGCAGGTATTGACGCATTTTTCACCTAAAATACCAATTAAATTGTCGTGTGATGCTTCTGAAAACGGCATAGGAGCAGTTTTATCGCATATTTTTCCGGATGGTAGCGAACGTCCGATAGCTTTCGCATCGAGAGTACTTGCAGATTGTGAAAAGAATTACTCTACGACCGATAGAGAAGCGTTAGCAATTTTCTTCGGAATGAAGAAATTTGAAAGTTATTTAATGGGATTACATTTCACGTTAGAAACAGATCATAAGCCTTTACTATCCATTTTTGGAGAAAAGAAAGGTTTGCCAGTATTTGCGGCTGGTAGATTGCAGCGTTGGGCGGTTTATTTGTCAAATTTCGATTACGCCGTCAAATATGTTAAAGGTGAAGAGAACGGAAGGCCCGATTGTTTATCTAGATTACCAGTGGGGGAAAAGTATAACTTTAGCGATTCTGGTAATTACTTAAAGTTTATTTATGAGCAAGCAGCTTTGGCTGTGGATGCAGGCAGAATAAAAATTGAAACTAGGCGTGACCCAATTTTAAGTAGAGTTTTCGATCGTATTAGCAAAGGATGGGGAAATAAACTGACAGCTAAAGACGAACATTTGAAACCGTATCATTTGAGAAAAGACGAACTAACATCAGAAGATGGAGTCGTGATGTGGGGTTATCGCGTAATAGTACCCACCAAATTAAGAGTGCGCATTTTAGAAGAACTTCACAGTACCCATTTAGGTATTGTTAAGATGAAAAGTTTAGCCAGATCAGTTTGTTGGTGGCCAGGTTTGGATGGCGACATAGAAAAATTTGTTAAAGGTTGCAGAGCATGCAATTTAGCGGCGCCTGATCCCAAAAAGTCGATGTTAAGCCTGTGGCCACAAGCGAGAGAAAACTTCGAGAGAGTGCACATTGATCTCTTTGGTCCTATTCGAGGACAAAATTTTCTTATTCTCATTGATGCATTTAGTAAGTGGATAGAAGTATTTATGTTGACTTCTATTGATAGTAAGCACGTTTTAGATAAGTTAAGAGAAGTTTTCGCTCGTTTCGGTATTCCGAAAGTTATTGTAAGCGATAATGGTAGACAATTTGTATCGTTTGATTTCGAAAATTTTTGTAAGCGTAATGGTATTGTACATAAGACATCAGCACCGTATCATCCCGAGACTAATGGTGCAGCTGAAAATGCCGTTGGTATTGTTAAGCGAGGATTAACTAAAATGTTAAACGATGCGAGGAATGATAAGGATGTCAATACGCTATTAAGTAGATATTTATTAAGCTATAGGAATGCAATACATTCCAGTACTGGCGAATCACCAGCAACATTGATGTTGAGTAGACGTGTGCGTACTAGATTAGACATGTTAAGACCCAATGATCAGACCGGTAGAGCTAGGGATAACATTGCCAAGTACCATAGAGGTAAAGAAACGCGTCATTTTAGTGTAGGAGATAAAGTTTATGCGCGCGATTACCGGCGAGTTAACAAGAAAGACTGGGTAGAGGCTGTAATCGTAGGCATTGAAGGCAACAAAGTCTATTTATGTAAAGTTGATGCTAGGATGGTTTGGAGAAGGCACCTTGATCAGATCAAGCCACGCCAGGCGGAGCGCACGGACAAATCTAAAGTATTTTTGCCAAGAGAATCAGCTGTAGATAGTCCATTGGCTTCAGTAGCGGTGAACAGTCGTGAGGTTATGGACAACAGCGAAAGGAGCGTTCACGAGGAGGTGGAGAAGGGATCGAATAATGAGGAAAAGTCTTCACCATCGCATGATAAGATATCGAAGGAGGGAGGAGAGAAAAGTATTCCGCAACCAGAAGTAGTTTCCAAAGAAGCAACCACGGATATTATTTTGCCGGATTCACCTGTTTCGGGTAGCTGTAAAAGGGGACGACCCAAAGGAAATACTAAAGACAAGGAAGAACCTAACGCTGAAAAAAGAGTTAGACCACGTAGGAATACCAAACCTCCAGAACGATATGGTTTCCCACTTAGTGCGGAGGGGTGTGAGATATCGGCGCCATCTAGGCCCAATGAGTTTGTGGCAGAATCTTCGAGAAAGAGTTAGAACGCGCTCGGCACCGCATGCAGATCAGACACATTTGTTCCCATATTGTAGTTGCAGTTCTATATTTGTTGTACAGAAGAATCTCACAGAATAAATTTACATTTACATTAATCAGGTGTAGACATTCGTCCCACTACACCACANTGTCTCAACGTTGGGCTCGATTCACCTGTCCTCGAAACCCGTTGAAGAACGCGGACGAGTTTGCGACGAGCACGTCGTTCCAAACCGTCGTTCCGGACTTGCTTAAAAAAGCTACAGCCTATAAATGCTATAGGTAAACGCCTATTTAGTGACGGATACCGGGAGTCGGGAACGCGTTGTGGAGTTGGGCGTAAATCAACTCCAGTTAAATTGGGACGATGCCGTCTCAAACAGGAACTTTTACCGCCAAAAGGCAAAGAGAGTAGACACTCAAGGTCTTAGTCTCGATAAAAGCCCCCTAACTCGATCGCACTGAACTCAAACCGTTCAATTGCGAGAGGCGAGTACGTCGAACTCGACTGTACGCCGATGCAGATTGTAATTTCTACAATCGGCCGCACAGCGGACTGAAAAGCTCAGACTCGCTGCTCTCAACAATATTTAAGACTGAGAGTACCTCTGTCTTAAATTAACTTCTATGAATAATTCGATCGCTGTACAGAGAAGAAAATTCTGTTTCCAGTCGTATCGAATGTGATCGATAGCGGCGAAGAGAAGCACACTCTTCGACGGTCAATTCGGGAATGAAAATCCATCGGCAATCACAATCGTTCAACCACGATTATTCGCGACTGCGCAAATGATGGAACAGTCCGTCCTTTTCTTGGAAATCAATTTGTCTCGCGCGATTACGTAACTCCTTCGCTATTAGATCGTATGATCGAATTCCGATCACGATCAATATAATAGCGGTATTTCTAAATTTAGAATTCTCTATCCGTGTGCGTGCCGTATAATTGTATTTCTCCGCTCGGGACTCTTACGAGTCGATCGAGCGGGTAGCGGCTTAAGCGATTAACTATTGTTTTCGCATTTCTTATGTTTGATGTTCCGAATTCCCGGAACATCGAATTCCAGCGATTGACGATGCCGTCAATCTTCCAGGAATAAATTGCGAAGTTTCTAGAAGTGCATGTGACTCATGCAGAACCTTCTTTTTTAATCTCGACTTTCTAACAGCTGGCATCATCAAAAATGTGACAAGTGACTTCAAAAAAGTGAACGACAATTTCCGGAAGAGGATTCAATTGGACATTTTGAACACCTGCTCTAAGTGATCTAACTGTGGACACCGCGGACGGGACAATCGCGGTGCATGTTGCACATAGACACTCGCGGACGGGACAATCGCGGTGCATGTTGCACATAGACACTCGCGAACGGGACAATCGTGGTGCATGTTGCACATAGACACTCGCGGACGGGACAATCGCGGTGCGTGTGAATTAAGGAATGTTGGTGTTTATTATCGCGCAGGCTAATTAAATGATTTTTGGTGGCGGTGCTAAGAATGCGAGATTTTTTTGTGGACACTGCGGACGGGACAGTCGCGGTGCATGTGTACTCGTGTGGATATTTCATTTCGGTTCGTAGAAAAGGGCATTCACCCTCCTGACTCGAAAATCCAATAGAGCGAGTTTCGATACGCTCTTGCGGATTGTGCGAGTGATTAGGCTGAATGCCAGGATACATCGTCTTAAAATACTTTTCCATCTCCAGCACCTGAGGTAAGCCCACAAATTTCTTATAGGTACGGCCCTACATTCGGTTATCGACACGCATCGATCGGCGGTGATCAGCTGAGCGTATGCCGAAAACATACGTCGATGCGAGGCGGATCGTCAATTTTAGGGGCAAAAACATTGAGTTTTTAAATGTTAATAACTAATTAACGAAGCCCCAAACTCAATTTTTTCTCTCTTGATTTTCGACTTATTTTCGACCAAAGAACACGTCCTTAAAATATTGCCCACTAGTACGTTTACACCATGTATATGCTTGTATACTTAGGTAAGTTGTCCCCATGAATATGCAAATTTCCTGTCTATTTGAAGAATTATACATTTATAAAATTGACATAAGGGGATTATGGCTAATTATGAGAGAAAAAGGAAGAAAGACAGATTTTCTGAAAATCGATTCTCACGGTTTCGATTCTTGCAGAATTCCCGATTCGATTCTGAATCGGAATCCAAAGAATCGATTCTGCAAGAATCGAAACCGTGAGATCCAGAGAATCGAACATCCCTAATCACGCACAGAGCCCAGTGACGAACACGTCGTGCCACTTATGGTGCTTGGCAATTTTCTTATTCGAAAATATCGGTGGGCCTACAACTGTGACCGGGGTTCCGGGCCGATACCGGTATGCCGTGACGCAGGAAGATGCACCGGACAGAACCAACTAACACCGATTACAACGAATCGTTGCAGAGCGGGTATGATGGTCACGACGTCGTGACCAGCTAACCAGCTGATTTTAATCCGGGAACCAGACGGATTTCTCAACGTCTACCCGGCTTTAATCCGCTTTACGAATTCTGAGAACTTTCTCGAAAATTCGGCTGGAATACTTGTACATCAGTAGACGCACCGGTAAGGAGTAATAAATCCGCGGTACGCGTATGATTGCCGATACACGGCTCTCTGTCTTTGACTATACGCGACTCTCTCGCACTCGTACTCCGGGCGTACACACGCCCGTATGAGTCACTGTTCGGGATACATAAGAAATGGATCGCTATTTCTTAATCACCGAACAATTACAATAATAGGTCTAACGGACCTTTTCATTTAAAATTCTCACGGACACGTAATTATTTAATATCTCGATGAATTGGCTGACCGCTAATTCCTCCGAACAAAGTCTCCGATAATATGCATTATCTGCGGAGGCGCATGTATCTCATGCGGACCCCTCCGACTTATACGTATTTTTAACAGCTATTAAGGACCAGAAATTCTATGAGCGCGGGATAAACCCGAAATTACTTTCTTGCCAACCCAATAGTACAAAAGGTATGTATGTTGGACCGGAGTGCGAAAGCTTTTTAGAATCATTAGAGTTGGAATCTGCCCAACAAGTTCGGTCGAAATGTTTGGAATTTTATATGACTGCAGTTCGAGAGATGCTTGTACGTCTACCTGCAGATGATCCATTTTTTCAAAAATTAATTTTTTCGAGTCCAAAAATAGCTTTGTGACGAAGCATATCGTATCCGTCCCCGCGTTAGGACCCTTGGTAACCTGCCACTGGCCCAACACAGCGAGCCTCCCGGAGATGACGCTAGACGGCGTCGCCCGGGACGGCCTTCTCGCGCCCATTAATCACGCTCGCGACTTAATAAGCGGTCCGCGAACCGCTATTAGGTGACCTCAGGTTACAGCAAACGGATAAGCCATAGGTAATATTCTCGAAGTAAATAATCAGGTCACCTGGGTGGATGCGAGCTTCCCCCGGTGTAGGAATAAAGAGGCCCGAACGCGCTTAGTTCTTGTTCGGGGGAAGGAACCTCAATACGTGAGGACGTGCCTTCCACGAACAGTGGTCCGCCTGCTCTTGTCACGAAGCGTGGTGACAAGAGCAATTCGAGGCCACCCGGCTACCATTTGGGTAAGCCTATACGGGTGTTCGAAGCTCGGGAAGAGCACGCTATCATTCGGATAGCGGTGCCCATTAGTTTCACGGCCCGCATCACGGGCACAATAACGAATCGCCAAGAAAGATCCGGCAGCGGCCGGATCCCGTGTCGCGTAGTATTAGCGGTAGGATATAAGTTAGGTTAAGATCGCGGTATATGCCAGAGTCGCAATCGTGACCCTGCATTTTCCTTCGCGTAGTCGTAGTATCTATTCGCGCATGCGATGTACATATTCGCGTAGAAGTAAGTAAGTCTCTTTTATTGTAAAGCCTCCACGGAAGGGAGTTCGGCGTGAATCTTGTGATTCAGGGAATCAGCTGAACGATGCTTTGAAACCGATGAGGACTCGGACAGAGTCGCGGGTTAAGAGACGAAAAACCGAACTGTCATACAGGCCCCGATGGCCAAGCTTTGATGGAAAAGCTAAAGAGTCAGCATCCTAATTTTCTTTAATCATTTCGACATGTCCTGGTTTTCTTATGCATCTCGAAATGCCTTAATTATGTCGAAACGCTTAGTCGCCGTTTCGACATGCTCTACATTTCGAGCGCATCGCGAACCGATGACCTAATGTGTCGAAATGATTAGTCGCCATATTCCAATACTCGCTGACTGTTACCGAGCGCGTATTACGAAAGCGACAAATGACAAGGCTATAACAGTAGGATACTCCTGATATCAAGCTAATTGGAAGTAACAAGGAAGCGAAAGAAACGAGACTTGAAATGAAATTCTTTGTTATGAAATGCAGTCTATGCTCTCTAATAGTTACAAATACTGGTCAACTCTTAACAGTAAGAGAATTTCTTCTTCGCAGTGAAACCGCGGGGAAAAGGTAAAGTTATTACTAACTCACTCACAAAACAGAGACAGGGCGTTCGGCTGCACGAGAATTCTGAACTAGACTAATCCAAAGGGCTATGGTTTTAAACCCAAATGAGGTCGTCGCCCGGAGTGGGAGACGCGAGGTGGGAAGCGCGAGGTCACTATCTCTCTCGCTCCCCTGTGACACGTCAC